AAAAAAAAAACACTTCTCGAAGGTTTCGCTTCAAAGAAACGGTGGCGGCCATTTCTGCGGTGGATCTGTCCTCAGCAGAAATTACGTGCTCACAGCAGCTCACTGCCTCGAAAGGTAAGTTTCGGAGTTTCCCGATCGAGAGGGATCTTCTAACATTCTAATCGAATCGGCTGTTATGCGCTGTGCAACGTCATCAACAGCATGCAACCTTACGGGGTCAGGATTGTCGCCGGAACCAAGAACTTGAACAACCCATATTCCGTGCACCAAGCGGTGAGGTTCGTCATGCACCCGCAATACAACCCATCCAACATTTGGATCCACGACATAGCCTTGATCAAGGTGAGTCTAAAGTTTAAACGATCAAAGTCGTAGTTTTTTTGTAACTCAACGAGGTTTCTTCTTCTTCTTTTTTTTTTTTTTTTAATTTTTCTAGGTGAGGGAGCCATTCGTGATAGGACCGCGCGTACAAATCGGCGTGCTGCCACAAAGAAATCAGTTTATCCCGGATAACGTGGCCGCTGTTGTGTCAGGATGGGGCAGACTCATAGTAAGTGTTCAAACGAAAACCTGTCTACCTGCCTCGCAATCCTACGCGAATATTCTGTTGAACGTGTACAGGAAAATGGTCCGTCGACGATGATATGCAAGAAAGTAACTCTCTACATTACCAACCAGCAAACTTGCAGGAGAATCTATGGAATTCTTTACGACACGCAAATTTGCGCCAGCGATCCCAGAGCTATGAAAGGATCATGCCAGGTAGGCAGCATTTTCAAAAAAATTCGCACTCGGTCGTTTCACTTGTTTGTTGATGCCCAACGATGATTACCACAAGCAATAATAATTTCATAGGGCGATTCTGGTGGTCCTCTTACGGTCAACGGGGTAATCGTTGGAATCGTATCGTGGGCAAGAGGATGTGGCCTGCAAAACTTCCCCAGTGTCTACACTCGCGTTACTTCTTACATCGATTGGATTTATTCGAACGCTGTTTAAGTTGGGAAAACTTACGACTAACTGTTAACTAAGAGGATTAACTAATAAAAAAACACGATTCATTAATATATATATATATACCGATAAATTCGAAAGAATTCATCGAATTCATGTCGATGTTTGAAACAAAAGGATAATTCTATGAAATGTAATGAAAATGTGATAAAAATAATATGACATAATAAAAACAATATAATATAATAAAAATTCTGTGAAATATGTGATATTAATAATCTTTGGCTACTGTTGGCGCTTTTAAAATTTGTTTTCGAAGTACTTTTGGCACCTAATTTACAAGGCGCTTTCTTCGCATTGCTCGAATCAAACTTAAGTCTACAGATGAATGTTATCAGGGAACTTCACTTGGATCAGACATGAGGGAATTCTAATTCAAGAAATGTGATGTAGGATTATGTGTCGACCCACGATTTCGAATTCTACCACACTTTATTATACTACATATTATGAAATAAAGCTTAAAATTAGTGTTAAATTTCTAGTATAGTGCACCGAAAATTCAATACAGAATACGAATAAATGAATAATATTTAGTTTAATGCAGTGCAATTGCAGTGTTTTGATTATTTCGATATATCCTCTGAGAGATGCACGCTGACGAGAAATTACGTTCGTTCTCAATGTAGGCCGTCAAAGTCTGCCACAACGAAAGAATCAAAAATAAGAGAAATTTATTACACCGTAACTACCAGAACCAGAATTTTACTTTGCAAAAAGAAAGAATCATCGGTCAATTGTAGCCGAGTCAGTTTACTCCGATTGAAAGTCTGGCAGCTAACATTTGTTAGAAATAATATTTTCAAGTCACGGAGGATCAAATCGTTAATACACTCGTACGTACGTAAAAATCCTAGTAAAAGAACGCCACGTTCGTACACGGCTATATACTGCGCGTACAGTCATTGATATTCCATTTCAGTCCACGGCTTCGATTCCTATACTTCAAATAACAAACAGAAATCGA